TGTGAGATGATGGTGAATGTGGCGGGTGCTAACATGGGGGGTGGTTCGAAACCTTCTTGCATCACCATGTTCTTGTTTGGACTTTGGACTGCCCTGCTTTGGTTTCAGAATAACCAACTCTTTTGTCCTTTCGTGCCTCGTTCCTTCATTTCGACGTGACATTGTACTTGGATTTTTTTTTGGGTTACATACTCCCACATACTCTTTTTTGATTGCGAATACCTCAATTCGTTCGTACTTGCCGTTTCCTCCAAAAGCTTTGACCTTTTTCATCCATTCATCTGAACCCGCCGCTTGAACGGACTATAACAATGCTGTATTGCTATTTTCTTACCAGTTTCCGCGTGTTTTTTTTTGGAGTTGGGGGTTGGGAGTATTCTCTGCATTCTATTTATCTGTTGTATGCTGCGATTTTTCTGAACTAGATCTATGTATTTTTTTTTCAAAATTTCGCGCTGCCATTCTTTGTTTCTCTTGGGATTAGTTGTTTGTGCCCATCCCCTTGTCGTCATACTACTTGCTAGCTGTTCAGCGATTTGTTTTACCGTGATGGGCAATCCTCTGATTAAAAAATTACTCTCGTTGAGATGCGATTCATCATTGGGTCATTGAGCTGAAACCTAGTTTATTTTCATCACTGTTCTTGTTTATAACAGGTTTCTTGGTGTCCGTTAGTGCTGTGCCCTTGCGTTTGAATCGGATTGTTCTATTTTATTTCCTAGCTACAAAGTATGGCTTTGTTGTAGGCTTTTTTTTATCTTAATTTGTACTTGTCTAGTTGGCTTATCTGCTCTTTTGTGGCTAGTGTAGGTCAGATCTGAGGGGTAGAAGCATTATGCTTTACTCTTGTGTTATTATATGGTAGATACCGCTACGTCTTGCTGTTTGATCTGGGCAACTTGGTAAAGTTAGCTGGACTAGTTTATTGTTAAGGAAAGTTGAAAACGATGGTCATCTCACCATCTTCCTATCATTGATCAGCGTTCACTTTTCCTTCAGTTAAATAATCCACCGCAAGTTGCTTCGTCACCAACTTATCATTTGAAACAATCCAGTAGTATTTTTGCACCACTGATGAGTGCAAAGTGGCAGTAGTAAGTGGCACTTTCGTGGTGGATCTTGTGGTGATATGCTTTTGCGGTTGGTTAACCGCACGAAGGAATTACAAGATCTCAGTTTGGGCCATCCAGATTCTTGGTAAGTGGGGGAAAAGGTTGGTGTTAAGCTCAAGCGAACATGAGAGATTTTGGATCTTAGTGTCTAACCCATTGCGTGCATGTGCTGTTTACCAACTCTAATGACGCCTTTGGCTGCTTTTGTTAGCTGAACTGGAATAACTGGAAAGCGGCCTGTACAGTCAAGTGATTAAGTGAACAGCTACTGCATGTTTGCCTCCATTATTGGCCGGTAGTGCAGGTCTTTGACAGGTCTTTAGAGTCTAAGATAAGCTTTACGCATACATTGTTGTCGATATGCCTGACTACTGATGGTGTATCAAAAGCCATGCATTGGTGAGACACGCAAGTTGACTGTGGAGTCTTAATCTCTGGTAACTCTTAGGTTCATAAAGTTTTGGCATCGATCTTAGGCTGTGCGTGACTGATGTAGTGATGTGAGTAATCTGAAAGTGAACTCTCTGTTCTGACTAAACTACTTATCTTTCCGTGACTATTATGAGAAATATATTTGTGTATTATTCTGCAATATGCCTTTTACTTACAATTTGTTGCTGATGCATGCAGATATGTGGTCTCTGACCTTGCAACAGATGTTGTGGTGCATGTTGGCGAAGTAAAATTTTACTTACACAAGGTCGGTGCCCAGTATTTTCTGCTATTGCACTGATTTAGAATTGTATCTTTTTTTTAGAATAACGACAAAGGTTTTCTAAGTCAACACTATTTAAGATACATATTTGGTCATTTCCTGAGGCCTTCTGGCCTAAAATACAAATTTGAGGGGTTATATGTCATACTCTAGTAATAGAACGTTCTCACATTTATGTTTCGCTTAAGACTGTTGTTGGGCTGTCTCTTTCCTTTATCTACCAGATACTACTTCAGATGTTCCTTTTTACTGACATTTAAAAAAAAAAACATTCTGTGACAATTGTTCAGCTGAAAATTCAACTGAAGGAAATTTTTGTTACTGTGGGACTAAATAATCCAGCCACCAATTACTTGCTGCATCTTATCTGCAATTCGCTTATGTTTTACTTTGGATGCTTTTACTTTTGTGTTGGATATTATTCATATACATAACAATATATGAGTGGTGATTGCCTTCTATTACAGAGATGACTATAAGTTTGAAATATTTATGTTTGATTTGGTTGTCATATACAGTTTCCCCTCCTTTCCAAGAGCAGCAAGCTTCAAAGATTAGTTCTTAAGGCCGCTGAGGAGGCAACTGATGAGGTTCGCATAGATGACCTTCCTGGGGGAGCAAAATCATTTGAAATATGTGCCAAGTTCTGCTATGGGATGGTGGTCACCCTCAGTCCACACAATGTTGTAGCAGCAAGATGTGCAGCAGAGTATCTTGAAATGACTGAAGATATGGAAAAGGGGAACTTGATATTTAAAATTGAGGTCTTCATAAATTCTAGCATACTTCGTAGCTGGAAGGATTCTATCATTGTTCTCCAGAGTACAAAGGCCCTATCACCATGGTCTGAAGAGCTGAAGGTTGTGGGTAGATGTATCGATGCCATCGCTTCGAAGACATCTGTGGACCCTGCCAATGTGACCTGGTCATACAGTCATAATAGCAAGAAAGGAGGAACTTGTGCTGAAATAGTTGAGTTGGCAGGAAAACCATCAATAGCTCCCAAAGATTGGTGGGTTGAGGACTTGTGTGAATTGGATGTTGACCTGTACAAGAGAGTCATGGTTGCTATCAAATCCAAGGGGAGAATGTCACCTGAATTGATAGGAGAGGCGCTTAAAGCCTATGCAGTTAGATGGCTGCCAGACTCCTACGATGCATTGGTTGCCGAGGATTACATGAGAAGGAATCAATGTCTGGTCGAGACAATAATATGGTTGTTGCCATCTGATAAGAGTTCAGGTTGTTCTTGTAGATTTCTCTTGAAACTGTTGAAAGTGGCTATACTAGTCGGAGGTGGGGAGCACGTGAAGGAAGAGCTTATCAGAAGGATCAGCTTCCAGTTGCACAAAGCTACTGTTAAGGATCTCTTATTGCCTGCTACTTCGCCTAATGATGGTACATATGATGTTCGGTTGGTGCATAATCTTGTCCAGAGATTTGTTGCAAGAACTGCGCTGTCTCATAATGGTGGTTTCATCGAGAAGTCTGATGAAAAGATGATTGAGCTCAACTTTGAGCAAGAATCCACTTTGTCGGTAGCAGAGCTTGTTGATGGCTACCTGTCTGAAGTAGCTTCAGATCAAGACCTTTCATTGTCAATGTTTGTTGAACTAGCGACAGCCGTGCCAGAAGCGGCTAGGCCTGTTCATGACAGCCTGTACTACGCAGTCGATGCATATCTCAAGGTATGTTCAAAATATAAAAAGGCAAACACTTCATGCATGTAGCTTGATGTTCAATGGTTGCTACTGTACATTGTTTGATTGTTCATACTATGAATGACAAATTTGTTCTTTCTAATCAGGAACACCCAGACATAAATAAATCTGACAAGAAGAAGATTTACAGCCTGGTGGATGTCAAGAAGCTCAGCACAGATGCATCCATGCACGCCACGCAAAACGACCGCCTGCCTCTCCGGTTGGTGGTTCAGGTCCTCTTCTTCCAGCAGCTGAGGGCTGGCCCAAGCAAAGAACTCGCCCTGATTGACAATGGAGAACACGCTTGCACACGGCCTATGCAGGATCAATGTGACCCCTGTGAAAGGCGGATACCAAAGCATCCAAACTCACTAAATAAGCAGGTGACAAGCCTGAGCGCGAGGGAGAGCCAGCACCACCGGATCAGCGAGCACAGGGGCGGCAGGAACAGCTTTAAGGATCAGATTGGGGGCATCCTGCTGCAGTCGCGACCCAGGAGGATCTTCGACAAGCTGTGGAGCAGCAAGGGGCAGGCCGAGCATGGCGGCAAAGGCTCGGAGACGTCTGGTAGCTCGCAGAGCCCACCGATGTCAGCAAAGCCTGCAGAAGTGAAGCCCTCCCCTCTTCCCCCTCTTAGGAACAGGAGGTACTCTGTTTCTTAGGTTTTTTTTGGCTCTCCTAGTTTAGAGCTCTGGTTTAGGTTGTTGTACAGAAGGAAGGTAATCAGCTGCTGCTCATCCTCTTTTTGTAAGCAGATCAATCTGCTGTTCTCTATGTGTTCATCCATGCTGTAGCTTTTACTGTAGTGTAATTTCAACTGGGAGCAAATCCAGGGCCTGCGTTCTTGAAAATGTTTCTGTGGTAAAGGTAAAAAGAAAAATCAACACAAACACCTCTTGTATCAGATCACTGGACTTGGACATGGATCACATCACGCAATACTGCCATTCCAAATCAATCTTACAAAAATAAAAAAGAAAGACGAGACAATAACAGTGCAAAAAATGAGACAAGTGAATCTGGAATTAATAGCTACAAAATGTTCAGACAATGTGCTGGGAGAGCGAAAAGCTGATCACATTCTCTTTGGTTGTATAATGGCTAAACAAATCTGGACCTGCTTTTATATACATAGGTAATAATAAGTGGGAAACCACAGTATATAAAAAAGAACGAGATTCGTGTTAACCATTTTTTTTCCGTATTTTAGTACTAGCGGACGCAACCACACCCATGGTATAAAAACTGATGAACACAGCAGCAAGAGAAGGTAAAAGCCAAGACAGATAAATCTGGAACAATTCCGTTGAATCAGATATCAGATAATAACATGGAAGACAGCCCCTTCCACTGGGCACAGGCGCAAAGCTGATATATGTTATTATCTCTTTGCAAGTTCCACATCACCAGGTCTGCACAATTCGCGGCCAACATAACAGTTTATCTGACTGCTAGCTCATCAGGTTTAGACTAGTAACCACCCCTCAGAGCAAGGACAAGATGGAGGACAGAACCACCCTCGATGTTGTAGTCCTTTGCGGTCTTGTCATCAGCAAGCTGCTTACCAGCATAGATGAGCCTGCAAAGGCGACAAAAATCGCTTCATCAGCATCAGATGTCAGGAAAGCATAATTGTAGAATAAGCATTTTGAAGAACAAATAGTAGCACTTGTGGATATAACCAAAATCTGCATGGTACCTTTGCTGCACGGGAGGAATGCCTTCTTTCTCTTCAACACGCTCCTTGATCCTGTCAATCGTGTCAGTGGGTTCTATGTCGATCTCGATCTCTTTCCCAGTGAGAGTTTTGACCTTGATCATGGTTCCACCCCTAAGCCTGAGGACCAAATGAAGAGTTGACTCCTTTTGGATGTTGTAGTCAGCCAGTGAGCGTCCATCCTCCAGCTGCTTGCCAGCGAATATCAGTCGCTGTTGATCTGGAGGAATCCCTTCCTTGTCCTGTGACAGTGAACAAAATAACATGTCAACTCTTTCGTATCCAATTGCAAGATGTAGTGGCCACTACAACCAGAAGCATGATTCAGGTCGTGCTAGAAAAAAGTTCTACAAATCAATGATCTATTTTTGTCATAGTCTAAGGATAACAATTGAATACAAACTTTTCAAAGAGGAAATTATAAGAATGCACTATACATGGACTTCTGAAAAAAACATATATAACTTGGACAGAACAAAACGACAGAAAATTTCTAGTGAAATAGAATAAAGGATGCCTAACAATTCGCAAACATGTGACCGTTATTTTTTGAGGTATTGAACTCTATAATAGGCAGCATCTCAAGATGCCCACTCTATCTAGCAATAAAACCAAGGAACTGAATTTTTCATTATGCCTAAGATGGTCATGCACAGATATGCATGGAATTAGTGGAAGCATCTATTCTTTAGAAAATTATTAAGTCAAAATATATATAGCAATAAAAACAAGAGAATATATTCTTCTACACATCATAATGGACTCAATAAGTTTTGCTGTGAGTATAAGGAACTGAATTTTTCATTATATACAAGCTCCTATTGAATGAATCTCACTTTTAAAGGAGACTAGAAATATTGTTGCAACTCTAGCTGTGCTTCAGTTGTATTGTGAAAGAAATATGAAGATCTGATCCCATTTTAGGCACAATTGTATTCCAAACAACAAAATTGCACATGCCACATGGTACTGAACATAATATGAAAAAAATGCACATGCAAGGCCACTGTTTTGGCTGGCAAATAAGCAATTTTCTCCAGCCAAACATATGCTATATTTACTCAGCCGCAATCCAATAGATAATCCCAAAATTAAACCTCCACATTAATCTGACCCGGATCAATCTAAGGAACATCGGGTGAATATCACAACTAGGGTAAACTTAAACCATGCATCGAATCGAACTCTCGACTCGTCCCAGAGATAGGTCAAACCAACTCACGGTAGCAAAGATGAGACGCGAGCAAGAACAAGGCTGGAGGGCACGCACCTGGATTTTGGCCTTGACGTTGTCGATGGTGTCGCTGCTCTCCACCTCGAGGGTGATGGTCTTCCCCGTCAGGGTCTTCACGAAGATCTGCATCTTCTCCTCGCCTCTTCCTCCCTCGCGCTAGGGGTCAGGGGACTAGACGGCGCCGAACTCAAACTGCGTGAGAACGAAGCCGAAGAACGCCCAAGAAATTCTTTCTTTCTTCTTTTGTTGGGTTTCTACTCGGGTTGGGCGGATTTGTAGGGGGTGGCGGCGGCGTGACCGGTTGCTCCACCACTCCGACTATATTATTAAATAATACTCCTAGAGTACATGTTTTTTTGAAAACCATATAAATAGTTATTTCACCTTTTTAATAAAAAACAATTAAATATGGCGATTATATCTGTACAGACTATTTACAGAAATAGATTCTGAAAATCAGAAACAACTATCTAGGCCCACTTTGGAATGCGTCTTTTCTCGTTTTTTGTGTTTTCTATAAAAAAATTAATTATTGTGAAATTACTACATTATTGACATACAATGGCTGACCTAGGGCCGACGACCTTGGGCGTCTGCCCTCCGGCGCCGGTATACAGTGACACCTTTGTCATATCACTCTTTGGGTCTGTTCGCTGGTTGGTGCTGGTGCTGGTTTGGGCTGGCTGGTGCTGGTTTTCTATGAGAGGAAAACACTGTTGGCTGGCTGGTTTAGGCTGGCTGAAACCAACAAGCGAACAGGCTGTTTGTCTAAAGCTTCAAAACATATGATCTCATTCGCCATTTTAAGCATCGCCCGGGCTTTATATGAGTGCTCGATCCACAATTTTGATATACATAAGACTTGGAGAACCGTTGAGGCACTGGGCATTCAATAACTATTATTATACATATAATTGGCTTATATATAAAAAAACCATATCCACATCTACAAGAATAAAAATAGTATAACTTAAATCAAAAGTATTAAAGGGACATGGTTTTATGGACTTCTCTCATATCATCATATGCAGTCATGCATGTGTTAAGCGCCTGGCACTTTCGATATTCTGCTCAATTGGAAAAATTGAAGCTTCATAGAAAAAAATATTCTAGGCTATGGCGAGAATGTTCCTCAATAAAATAAAAATCTATAGCGTCATGAGAAAAACCTATAGGTTTGAAGGAAAAAAGGATTGCTCAATAAAAAATATTTTTACTCAATAAAAAAATACAGCTTCGAACAAAAATATTACTCACTAAATAAAAAATCTAGAAATATATGTAATTTAGTGTGACTCACGGAGAAAAACTTACATTCATTTATCCTGTTTCAATGTGTGATCAACACAATTAACATCGTTTATGCTGTACTAGTCACAACATAATAGTTCATTTATTATTCAACTCAGCATGTAAGCAATCTTTTAAAAAATCGTTAGCAAGATTGTGATGCATTCTTTTCCAAGAAGCTGCTTTGGGAAAAAGAAAAAGAAAATTCCTTTGTTGCCATCCAAATCTGATTCCTTTATTACCATTGAAAATTACGAGTTTCCTTCAATACCATAGATTCTAAGATTTGGATGGCAATGAAGGGAATACATAATGACATGATTTTCAGTAACAATGAAGGGATCAGACCGTCATATTTAGATGATGCTAGAAATGATAAGAAATGATCATCATCGATCGCTTGATGATGATATGTACCGTCATAAAGAAACAAAGCAGTCCACCCCACCAGCACAAAAATCTTTTTGGAAAATAAAAAGATGATAATAAGAGACTAAAAGAGAGCTGCGGGCTTCAGATTCGCTTCAAAGTCAGTGCTTACATTCCACGCAACCCTGAAACAAGAAGGCATTTGTGTGCAGAACCTACGCATGTTGGCATCCACACAATATGAGCACCGGCACCGACCACCACTGTCCTGTGCGTGGCACAGAGTGGTGCTGGTACGTGGAGCTATGGAGGTAACAACCATTGACAACAAAACTACAAATGCGTAGAGGGTAATTGCCCTGTTCGCTTAGCTGATAAGCCATGGCTGAAAATACTGTTGGCTGATTTGTTGTGAGAGAAAAATACTGTTCGTTGGCTGAAAAAGTACGGCGCCAAGCGAACATGGCGAATATCTTCTTCATTCATACATCACTAGAACAAGTCACTGAAAGCTTAAATCTTTTGCAACAGCTGTTCCATACAGTGTAGTGCTCAATCTCCAACCAGTGGACCAAAAAAAGCAATTTCCATATACAAATGTTCCATAAAGTATCATCAAGAATTGCAGATATCTGAGGCACCTAATGCATTGGAAAAAGACATAAACCCTCTTGCAAACTGGCAATGTTCAGGGGGATTTTTCCCCCCTTCCAGTCTAGAAATAAAACTCTGAGTTCTTCCTATCACTCTACCAGAAGCTCTTATTCATCATGCTGTTCATGATCAAAATCAGATTACTGCAGAAACAGGCGTGGAGTTGCCATCATGGAGCAACATGTCAGACGCTGAACCCTTCCGCTCTCAGGCATTGCAGGTGGGCTTCGATGAACTTTCCGCAGGCATCCTCACCATTCTGCACGATGCAGTCGTCTCTCAGCTTCTTTGTATCTGGGCAAGCGCAACAGATCTTCTTTTTCGGCTTTGTCTCAGGTGCAGAAGCTGTTGTGGCAGGTTGGTGCGCTGAATCTGAAGCCTCAGTTTGCACAGATGCAGTGTTCCCCATATCTGGAATGAATTGAAACAGCAATGAATCAGACAGGATGGGCATCGGTTGGATTTTCAACAAACATGAGATTTAGGAAGTGAGCCTTGCTCAACTGGTTGGATGGGAGGTGTGGTCATGCACCCAACCATCTAGGTTCAAGTCCTCTCTTGGCTTGAATTTGGGTGCGTATTTTCTCTTCTTAATTTTCTCAAACACGCAAGAGAGTTGTGTATCATTTCATTAAGAGAGAAAAAAAGAAGAATAGTACAAAGGAGGGAGAAGAATCCCCCTCCCCAAGGGAAACACTAGACCAGAGCAACTAGCTTTCCATAGCTAACATGACGTTTCTCTTCTTAAGGACCGCCTAATTCCTCCTAGGTTGGATCACACCAACAACATGAGATTTTGATGAATAGAAACTTTATGCCATACGTGTTTTACACAACTGAAATTTCTAGAGAAACTTTTTACATGACTACTCTCAGTGGATACTGTATTTATACACAAGCAACCTAGTACAGTAACATGGATCCATTGAGCGATAGAAGACTTTTCAGAGGCATGCAAAAATGGTCACCAAACAGATCTAATTTGGCTGTGTCAATAGTGTCCAGACGACTCAAGTTGTTGATGTTATGAACTAGACAAGTTATGGACTTATGGCCAAAAGTACTACAACTAAAAAGTTACAACAAAGTAAGGAAAGCAATGACAATATAAGTAACCAGGCAGAAAAGACACGACAATAATAATAAGACATTTGTATTGTATCCAATTACAATATTTAGATTATCAGATAATCCACTGTTAATATTTAGATCTTTGCTCTAGTCAGCAATGAAATTTAGATTATCAGATAATCCACTGTAAACAGATGCATGCTATATTAAGAGCAAGATACTTTGGCATGATCTTGCAATGCTTGGTCATTACGCTGTTCTACTATTTGTCCTGCTTGTGCCATTGTGAACCACCTTGGAATTGGAGCGAGACTAGGATTTGATGGGGCTCACAGAGCTCGTTCTTCACATATTTGTGAAGAGCTCCTATGAATGGTCTGCACGAAAAAGATGAGAAATATGCATAGGCGCTAAGGAATTCCTACAGCTTGGTTATTTGTGCTCATAATTCAAAGACTGTTTGGTTGGCAAGGGTGGCTTTCCTAAACACAATCTAGCCTAGAGCCCTAGACATTTTTTCTGCAATTCCCCACATAGCATTTGGATGCTGATTGCTGAATTTTTGCTCCTATGGGTTCAATGGCAACCCGTAGCCTTCAGGCTAATCCCCCGGCAGAATCCTGAAGACAAAATCGAAGCGACTATTCTCTCCCGTATGCAACTACCAACGTGAAAAGCAAACCAAATCATAAACCTTTTACCAAGAACAAGCATTATTTGCCACCACTCTGCTAGTCTAACGACACAGGTGCTTGGCTGCTTGCTACTAGCAATGAACTGGAGCGAGGAGTGTTAGGGTTACCGACTGGAAGTACCTGGAGCCGAAGAGAGCCGGCGCAAACTCGAATCCGTTACCCGGATCTGACTCAAGAACAACCAACAATCTCTGGAAAAGTCGAAGGGAAAAGCAAGGAATCGCGCCGCCGCACGCGGAGACGAGAGGGCTCTGGAAGAGACGGTGTGGCGTGGAATAAGTGCCTGTTTGGATACGAACCTGGACGCAAGATGCCTGGCTAGGACCTCGCCTGGAAACTGCCTGTGCAGTGTTTGGATGAAGCCCTGAGAGCTTGACCGACCCAGGCAGCCGTGCGCACGCCCAGGCGATGGAAAACGTCCGCCTGGCTCAGGCTCCGTAGTTTGCCTGGACGCAATAAAGTATTCTATTCTTAATTGACGTTAATGGTCACTTGATTAAGTCCATAAGACCATGATTACAACAGATTTTTCCTCTCCTTTTTCCATGTAAACGCTAACATAGTTTGTATTCTGAAGCTTTCTACTCTTTAATTAAATACATATAGAGATCTCTCATTAGAAAAAATTAATTTAAATTAATTTTTTAGCAAAGAAGAGATAATTAACCTAAGTTATTATTCTAGTAAACACACCATAGTAGTGTTCATTAATCCTATACAAATAATAAAAAAGTAAAATTTCACTCGCATAAGCATTCTCAGACACAGGCATCTAACCAAACAGACTTTCTCTCACATTGCCTCACCAGGCAAAACTCATCGACACAACTTTCAGGCAGCACTTTTTATCAGGCAAGTCACCCAGTTCTCTATCCCAACGTGCCCTAAACGCGGCGTCTCCGCCGTCACACACGGCCCAGGCCCGTTTCAGGGACTCATCCGATCTGAGCCGCTAGTTTCAGATCAAACGGTGCGCAGTCGTTCCACCGAACCGTCCATGGACTTTCTTGGACACGAGTTGAGACTTGAGACACCGCTGACGCTGAGTACGACTCGCGATTCGCGAACCAGTCCGTTCCTTGCGCGGCTGCAGACGAGAGAAGGGGAGGGATCATGGTGGCGCCGGACGTGAAGGCGGAGACGATGAAGCTGATGGATCAGCGGGGTGGCCTGGAGGCGGAGATGGACGCCATCATCGCCCGCCTCACCGCGCCCGGCGGGCCGGGCATCACCGGCGGTCTCGTCGACGCCGAGGTAGTCTAAGATCCGCAAAACCCTAACCTAAACCCGAAATTTCTTCTCATGTTGTTTGCTTTGGCTTGGTTGGTTTAGGGTTTCCCCAGGTCCGACATCGACATCCCGAGCGTGCTCGCCCAGCGCCGGAGGCTCGCTGGTATCCATTGCTGTGCTCGATTTTCGTTGCGACGCATTATCTTACTGTTTAGCTAGCTATATGTTCACTCGTGGCAGGAAAAGGGGATCTTAGGGTAATTGATTGAATGGGTTGGTCCAGTAGGCAGTGTATTGAGTTGCTGCGATTCAGTTCTGCTTAACAGTGCACTAGGCAGCCTGTGGCCTGATGATGCAGTCTGGTAGAGTACAAACGCGATGCTCTTGCTGTTGTCCACAGCTGAAAAATTAATAAATTTCTACAAAATGCTAGGATTCTCATACAATGGTGGGCGAGGTATAAGACTATTGGGATAGAAGATAGGGACTAGGTTGTGCTGGACTCATGAGCTTACAGTGTAGAGTAAAAGAAAAGCATCTTTGCTGTTAATTGTATTTATAAATGTGGATTGGTTGTCTTATGTATCTGCTTCAAATACATTTCCTTTTTTTCTTTCCCTCCTTGTTGGTGGCTCATGTTGGGTTTTATCTATAGACTAAAAGGCTTTGTTGGTGTTGTATAATATTATGCTTGCCATGTTTGATGCTTGTTGCAGAATTGCGAAATGATCACAAGGATGTTACAAATAAAATTGATAAAAATCTGGAGATTTTACACTCAGCAAAGTTATCAAGGAATGAGCAATCAACCTCGAGGAGGTCTGGTAAGTATACAAACAGTATCTTATCAAATGACAATGTCATTAACGGTAGCATGCCACAATCTGTTGAGTCATTGCCCAATTTAATCTTCTTAAATACCAAGAATCTAGACTTGATTTGAAATGTAAATAATTTGAGTAGATATGAAGGGCGGGCCTGGTGCAAGCGGTAGAGTCTTACCGCCTGTGACCGGAAGGTCCCGGGTTCGAGTCGCGGTCTCCTCGCATTGCACAGGCGAGGGTAAGGCTTGCCACTGACACCCTTCCCCAGACCCCGCACAGAGCGGGAGCTCTCTGCACTGGGTACGTCCTTTTTTTTATAATTTGAGTAGATATGATCTTTTATGATATCCATTTTTATAGTTCTGCAAATGCCATCAAAATTGTGTCTTGGAGACAATGAAAGTTCAAAACAGTAAGTTTCATGATTGGAGGGAGTTTCTTACTCCTCCTTGATTATAACACTGTTTTTTTAGTGAACGCCACTGTAGCCTGGTTAAAACCTATAATATTCTAATTTCTTATATGCTTAATAATTCTGCAACTTATGGCATCGTCAATAAGAAGTATTAACAATATGAGAATGGTTTTGAAGGAGTAAGGGCAGAAATATAGAATAATCAAGCTATAACAATATGTAGAAAAAACCAAGTGATAACAATGATCTTAAATTTTAGTATTTGCAATAGCCATGTTCTTATTATGGTAAAGCTCTGTTTATGCAAAAATGTGTGTTATACCCGAGGCATCCAGTGAACCAAAGATGGCCCAGAGACTTGTTGAACTAAATGCGATTAAAGTTTCTGATTTCTTTGATATTTGATTTCCTGCAGATACAACAGGTCCTTCACACATTGGATCAACTCAAAGTGAACCTATGGAAGAGGACCATGTGACCAAACTTCCTTTTGCCATGATTGATGAAATCACGGATGGTTCTCCTGCTTCTGTGGATGGTTTGCAACTTGGAGATGAGATAGTAAAGTTTGGGAATGTGGAAGCTGGTGACCAATTGCAGGAAAGGCTCATCTCTGAAGCTCTTTCCAATGAGGACAGTCAAGTATCTTTAGTCATCATTCGCCAGGAATCAGCAATGAATTTAACAATTACACCAAGAAAGTGGCATGGAAGAGGACTTCTGGGGTAAGTTTTACTATATCTGGGTAGTGGCATCAATTCTTTTATTACCTTTCTACTCAATATAAATTTCATTGCTGAACAGTCCTTTTGAAGAACTTTATGGATGTGTGTCTTCTAGCTGTGGCTGTTGTGTTTATTTGATTGTTTTGATTGCCATGGTAGGTCTTCCAGTTAGTCATGTCCACTTGTTTAGAAATCCATATGTGGAAGCTGCAAGTCTTCCAATTTAATGCTACCAAGTTGATACCAGATAAATGTGACATGTAGAGTCCCAAGTATGAGATCGCTAGCTTTAGTGCACTGCAGAATGGTTGTCAGATCTCTGTAGTTTCCTTTTGAATATTCCTTCAAAAATGTAACTTCTCACAAAACTTGTTCGGTTAGATTCTTAAAGAACTTGCAGAGGGATTGGAATAGCACTATAAACTTGGAAGATTAGCAACATTGGACAATGCACACCTGTTACAAGTTGCAACAAGTAGATTTTTTGGGTACTATTTTATCTTAACACTAAAAAACGAGTGTGTGTTAGTAATGCTGTAGGATTTGATTGACAAAGATATATGCTAATCTTCAAAAAATTCATACCAAGCTATAAACTACTAGACCACCGATTAGTAAGACAGCTGCCTCTACCATGTCTGCTCTTTGTTTGTTTTGCTGTACTTAATTTCGCCATCTGATGCCAATATGTCTCAACACCTGGAATCAAAGCAAATGATTGCTAGCTGGCAAGCTTATTTGTTTACTCGTGAACAAACTACAAGATCCTTCTTGTTCCCTTGCTGATGACTTTGTTAACTCCAAGTTGGTTTCTGGTTCTTGCAGGTGCCATTTTCGGATGCTATGAAGAGTCAAACACTCTTCTGCAGAATGAGCTGGTCTATTATGTTTGCACTTGTGGAGACGGCTCTAGCAATGGTATTTCAGCCGCAAAGTGAACTGATTTAACTGAATGTGTGGCATCTCGATATACTAATTGCTTGTATTTAAACTGTGGAGCGCTTGAAACATACTGGTGTAGCAGGTTGCCTTAACTTTGTTGAGATTTTTTACTTGTACATCGTCAGTATCCATTCTTGTCTGCGCGTATAGCACACCAGCTTTAAAGCTTTCAACGTTATTCCTACGGACAGGACTTTTTGTGGGTTTCAAAAGTTAAAAAAGCGGTATATGCCTATGGGCCAAATATCATCTTCAGGCACAAGGAGTTTGTGTGTTAGCGATGCAATTTCGGTCCATGAGCAGATTAGAGAATAGTTGCTATCACCTTTATACGTTCTGTAGGGATGTTTCTATCACACGCTTGATAATGCCAATTGCCACATTGAAATATATGAGGTCAAACAAAGCTTCGCTCGTCTGAAAAAAGTACAACGCGATGCTAGTGGCTGGAGTATGGACAGAAGAAAAAGGGAAACAAAGCCTGCCATTTGTTTCTCAATACCAGTCGTTGAAAGGCTTTACGTTTCACCTGCTCTCCGTCTTATAAAACACTGCCCAACCAGAGAAAGAACAGAATGTAGTACGTATACATATATATCCATTCCAAGTTGAGTGTACTTAGGCCCCGTTTAGATCCAAAATTTTTTGGATTTTGGCTCAATGTAGCATTTCGTTTATATTTGGTAATTAGTGTCTAATTATGGATTAATTAGGTTCAAAAGTTTCGTCTCGTGATTTCTCATCCAACTGTGCAATTAGTTTTTTTTTCATCTACATTTAGTACTCCATGCATATGCCGCAAGATTCGATATGACGGATACTACGCAAAAATTTTGGAATCTAAACAGACCCTTATTTCAAAAAAAAATGCCCCAACTTGTCCGCATAATAAGGCCACAGCCACCTTAGGCCCCCAATATGGATATTATAAGTATATAGCTGCACCACCAACCGTACGTTCGCCTGAAAATTTCATAGAAAATCCATGGCATCTGTACGGCTGCTAGGTAACTAAGGCACTACCATCTGTATGATATGATAGTGTGTAGATTCCCTATTATTAAACACATGTACGGGGTTAAACTAAGGCACCATTTTAAGACGGATGAACTAACTGATGGGAAAAGTTAGCCTAATTGATTCTGCTCCTAGAAGACGAGAAGTAATTGCTTTGACTTGTACTGTTGTTAGGAACCCCGCTTGAAGCTAACTTCGTCTACTGTTGTTTTGTCAAACCATATCATACTCACGCCCTCTATTTGGAGTGCATGAATTTCACGAAAACAGCTACTTCTTGCTTTCTAAATTATAGATCGTTTGGCTTTTTTATATACAATGGCCCCGTTTGCGTGCCCTTAAACCCGGCTTGATCCGCTTTTTTTCATTCGAAACAGTGTATTTTTCTCTCACAAATTCCTCTAGCATTCCTCCAAACCATCCAAATTCCTCCAAGCGAACATGCCCAATAGCTTTTGCTATGTATGTAGATTATCTAACACATATCTAGGCGTATGACAAAAGTTATGTGTCTAGAAGAACCAAAACCACTTATAATTTTGGAACTGCAGCAAGTGCATCACTGGCCTCGGTCGCCGCTACCACCGCTAGGGCCCCTAAACCGCTTGTCCGCCATTCTCACCGCCTGGCCTGCCTGCCTCCTCTCGGCCAGCCCCTTCTATAGCCGCCAGAGTTGGAGAAGAAAGAGGGAGAGAGAGGCTCACCGGGACCCTAGCCACCGTCGCTGTCGTCTTCGTCTCGGTGGGCACAGATCTAGGAGGAGGAGGAGGAGGAGGAGGAGGAGGCCGCCTACCTCGTCCTGCCACCGTCGTGCCGGAGCTGGGGAAGAAGACGGTGTGCGCAGTCGCGGGCGCGGGCGCGAATCGGACACACTAGGAATCGCGTGCGGATCTCCCCTAAAACACTCGGTTGGTTTGTTTAGCATTTCTTTCTTTATTTGGCAACCTTGCATTGTTGCTAGAGGCTAGAGCAGGTGTGAGAGGAAATCATTTTGCATGGGATCATCAGATTGAAAATAAGCCTATGACAAGGAATATCATCAGAGGCTCCTGTGGAGCCTATCAGTAGATAATTAACATGCATGAACAGCTCATTCGGTCACCTGTCTTTCGTCAACACTGTTTCAGGGTGCACCAACTCGATCGATCTGCAGTAGCAGCCGGGTCAGGTAAACAACAACATATACAAAACGCACAGGCCATGCATCTCATCGATCAGAGCTAGTCTCCCTGCTTGCACCGTCTGGTACACAGACGTCGTCCGGCCAGGTCGAGTTTTCATCTCCGCTCGATCGTACAAGCATCACTGGTCTCGTCTCGTCTAACACTACTCTCACCGGACGGGCAGCTCGATCGGTTCATTGCACCTGGCGGACGTGCTCCGACCATGCATGGCGTGGTCTCGTCACTTTCGTGCATGGCGCCGGCCGCCGAAGGATGGATCTCTCTATGCACGTCTCTGCTGAGTGCTGATGACCTGACGACCTAATCGCGGTCCGGCGCTCGGCATGATTAAACTGCGGCATCAAAGGTTTGTATCCCTCCCCATGACGACGACGGTTTCGACGTGGCACCTACCGCGTGCGCGTCCGCAACACATCACCCCTCCTTTTCCGATCCTCCCAGGCTCCCACGGGCACCTGCACTGCACCTCCCACTCCCACCCACCGCGGCGCGGCGCGGCCCTATACGCGTACGACGTACCAGTACAATGCACAGGGGCAGCCGCGCCCCCGCCACTCTGCTACTAGCCTGCGACAACACGCTGCGGCCGCTACCGCTAGCTACATAACCGGCTCATCATCACCTGCTCCCGCCCTTCCGATCGTCTCTCGCTTTCGCTCACGACGCGTCGTCACAAGCTCACTTTACGCGCGCGAACGAGAGAGCCCAGGCACGCCTCGCTAGCTAGTAGCTCGCTCCACACCGCGCCATGTCGGCAGCGGCCGTGGCTCCCCGCGCGCCCGGTGCCTCCCGGAGGCTGTCGTCTCAGTCTCCGAAGCCGCCCGGAGCCAGGGACAACAAGGAGCCTCCTCCCCAGCGCGAGGACGCCGACAAGGCCAAGGACGCTAGGAGGAGGCTGCCGCCATCGTTGTCGGCCCTGTCCCCGTCCCCGTCCCCGACCAGGGGCGCCGCGGCGTCCATGCTGCTGCGCCGCGCCGCAGGCGCCGGTGGGCGGGGGAGCAGCAGCAGCTACGTGCACCCGTCGTCTTCGCTCAGCGTCTCGTGCGCGTCGGAGGCGTCCACCGAGTCCTTCTGCAGCCGGGCGTCCACGGGCCGGATCGGCCGCCGCCCCGCGGGGCCGCCCGTGGGGGCTCCGCGGCGGAGGGCTACGGGCTCTGCCGGCCCTCCCTCCACGCGGCTGGCGGCGACGTCCAGGAAGGTTGCTAGTAGCAGCAGCGTCGTCGTGCCAGGCGTTGCAGCGGCGGGCACTGTTCAGGTGGTGGTGCCGCCGGCGGTGGTGGGCTTGTTGAACGCAGAACCCACCGCGGCGTCAGCGGGGCCGCCGAGGTGCCCCTGGGTTACCCCTAACACTGGTAGGTGGTCAAAACAAATCATGCGCTTTATGGTTATTTTCGGTAAGGTCAAGACAAAATAAGTGCCTATACAATATTTACTAGTAGCTTACTGTATTGTATACAAGACCTACGACAGCATACTACAAGCTTTAGATGACTGCTTTACACCTTTGTCATGATAGACATCTATATTCTTAGATTATTATATCTAGACTAAAAAAATAATACAGTAAGTTATAATAGAAAAAAAAAACATACGTACAATGTTACATACACATCTAGATAATGAGAGAGTACATGTTTTTTGAGAAAATGTGACTAGTTTATTCTAGTGGTATTTCCATAACCATGCATGTGTGCTCTTTCATGCTTCAATTGCTCTACCTATATATATATTTCGATAAATAAAGCTCTTTGCCGACCTTTCGAAAAAAATCTCGAAGCGAAGTATTCAGTCAGTTATAACTGGTGTGGGCAGTGCCGCACACAAGGTGCTGGTTGAGTTTCCCTAATCTATTTGGTTGAGTATTGATTGGGTACACAACAAATTAAATCCACTTTCTGCTCTTGTCCTTAGCTCCAATTTAGGTGCCTGCTATTTATATCAGTTCTTAAAATATATGTTTGGTGACTGACCAATACCTATGCTGTGTTTGCTACACTAGGATATTCATATTTGGCCGGAAGACTATGATATCTTAGAGTTTAGATAACTCTAACTATATTTTTACGTCGTTTTCATGAAATTATGTCAGTTTCTCAAAAGATTCTATTTCTACCTACAATCCGAAGCTAAACCCACTCCGCCATATATAGCCCTTATATATTTTTCCAGTTTATTTTCTTTATTTCAAAATTGGATTATGATTTATGAGTGCTTCATTCCCCTTGTGATGTTTGCTAAACTATTGTATATAATTGTCATGGTACTTTTAGGATTGAAGACCGAGTTGTTTGTTGCTATAAAACTATTCATATGGAAATTGACACTTGCTAAAACGTTGATGTTTGGCCCTGTCCTTGTCTTTTCTCATAAAAAAAAACACATTTGATTCTCATTCTTTGTGGGTAATCTCAAAAAAAAAATGTTATTCCATCTTAAGAATTTAGAGATGCTAGACCTTTCCTTGCTCTTCTCTCTCCAAATGTAAATGGCGCCGCTAGAGCCAGCAGGCAGAGGCTATAGTTTCATTAGCATAGGCTTTTCACGTTTTTTTCTGACGGTAAATAAAGAGAGTTGTATTGACTGCTCCTAGGGTAAATAAGTAAATTACATTCACTGGATGACACTATGTCTTTGAATACAAGATGTTTTGTGACCATGCAATGCATGATAAGACGCCTCGGCCATCTTGGACAATCGATATATGACGGTTAGATCATATATGACATCACAGTAGATGTTTGGTGGCATAAAAAATACAATAAAAAGATGCACTGAGATGTTTGGTGGGCTGTCGGTTATCGAGCA